AATATAGAAGCTCATTATATTTTTGAAGTCTGTATAGATAATATTATTTATGACTAAACACATAAAAACGGCACTTTCGTGAATGATGTTGCGCATAAAGCTATTCCTATATTGTTCTATTTTAAAAAAATCATAACTTCATATTACTATTGAGTGATTGTTATAATTGGAAATATGTAGAATGTTAGCTAATAGGATAATCCATTTAAAGTTATATATATATTAAATCAACACTTTGTTTCTAAGACTATAGTATACTGCTATTTGATTGTCTGAGATTTGAGACATTAGGAGTGTGTGTGTGACGGGACTATGACATATAGGTGAAGATGACAAATCAATCGTTAAAGTCTCTAGATCTACGTTATCTTCTGAATTCTAAGCTGCTATCCATCTTGATGTGCAAGATTTCGTTAGCTCATGTATGAAGTCATTGAACAACACTGTTGCTAATTTGACGTTTGGAGATTTTAGTTAATATAGTTAAAAATATAGCTGATTTTATCTTGTCCATATCTGTGTGTTCAGCTTTAAGCCACGCTTTAGGTGTAGTGGGATGAGCAGTGATATTTTGGTGTATTTACTGAATGATTTTAATCATAAAGTTTCCATTATCTTAATAGAAAATATCATCCACACAAACTTCATATTGAAAAAAGTGAGGTGTTTATTTTGTTGACCTTGACATGACTTGAGACAGCGACAACAGAACAAATGGTTAGACATATGAGAAAAATCTCGAATACCTCACTTTTATGTGAAAATTTTAACGATCATATTGTCTCGGAAGGCAATGACAATTTCATGGTTAAACGATCTAGAATAGAGAACTTAAATCAAATGAGAATAATAATATTATTATCAGAATGGGGGTTTGTCGAGATTGTCATAATTTTAACACTTGAATTCATTAGTCGATCTAAGCCAGACCATCATTCAAAACCTGGAATCACTAAACGGAAATTTCGTCCTATTATGGTACTCCTCAACAGTCCACATTCACGATCCCGCACGTGGTACTCGAACTCAGGACCCTCGGTCTCAGACTATAGATGAGAGGTTGTACAAGATCGTGAATCGATTGAATTTAGACATTACCACCGTTGGATGCCAGCTCAGTGGTCTAGAGGTTAAACATCCGCGCACGAAACTGAAGGTTTTGAGCCCGAGTCCTTCATACTTGATGGTGGATGTACACTGCCGAGGAGCTTCATGCTAGGATCAAACGACCGTTCAATGCTTCTACGTTTTGAATGATGGTCTAGCTTAAATTGACTCATGAATTCAACTATTAAAATAATAATGCAATCAGGCTGCCTAAAAATGTATTCGATGGAGTAGAGTTCAAATCTTTGACCCATTCTGTTGGAAACCAAATACTTTAACTACTAGGCATCCATCCTATGAAAGTTTAAAAAGAAGTGTGCCTAAATCAATTATAAATTGTGTAATTCTAATTTCCATTGGTTTTTTCCCTATAATTTATTTACATTGTTGCTGTTATCGTTGTACATGTAATATTATTGCTTACTGGGCAAGGTCCATCAATCAGTATTTAGTTGTATGCTATATACTTCCAGTTTTTTCAACATACTATTTATTCAAAGATAGATAGTGGCTAACAGTGGAATCCAATTTGACGCGCGTTTCGTCCTATTTGGAACTCGTCAGCTGGATGTACCCGCATCTCAGAGTTGATGTTCACTTTGGGACTCGAACCCAATGCCTTTCGCTTCAAACGTCATCGCGTCATCCACTCGGCCACTGAGTCCTGAAAGCCACTTGCTTGTGTAATGGGGTGAAGTTTAAACAAACAATACTAAGTGAATTTATACTATTTATTACTTAGTGTGTGTATATGATGAATTAACTCTAACACATATATGCACTAGTGGTTTTCTTTTTTTTTCTTCAAAATTTCTTATTTATAATTACACACTGTAAGCCAACCGCATAAATCTTCATTACAGTTTGCTAGATTGTAATTTGCACGTAATTCAATTACTTTGTCTTTATTGTTTATTTGTTATAATCGTCAAATAGTACATTTGTATTAAGTTAGTATTAGTTACGGTGTTTATGTATTTTCATCTTTGTTCTTGTTAATATTACTGTCAGTATGATCAATGTAGGATTGTGGACGAAACGGTCGTCCAGTGCTTCCAGGTTTTCAACTACGGTCTATATTATTATTGTTTTTTTCCTTCTGAAGATTCTTCCAGTAGTTATCTGTTTAGGGCAATGTTTAATTTTTTCTTACTAAAGTTGTACAATCATGTATCTATAGTTGTTTCACATATATACTGTAGTGAAGAAACACCAAGGTAGGAAAGACCAATTTATCATTTCATGCAAAATTACAGAATGCTTTAGTAAATTGTGATAACTATATATTATCATAGTTGAAAACGTGAGTCAATTGAAGCTAGATCACCATGGAAAACCTGGAAGCACTGCTTTAAGGCCGTTTCGTCCTATTGTGGGACTCCTCATCAGTGCGCATCCACGACCTCGTCTCACGAGATTCGAACCCAGGATCTACCAGTCTTGCGCCAGAGCACTTAACCGATAGACCACTAAGCCAGCATCCAATAGGACGAATCAGCCGTCCAGTGCTTCCAGGTTTTCCGTGGTTGTCTAACTTCAATTGACTCACGCTTTCAACTATGAAAATACTAAATCTCCACAAAAAAGCCCTTCTGATAATTATATATTAATTACATAATTTGCACATTTTCCATCAATTGTTTCGTTCAAACTTCATCGTTCTCCCATTCCTGTTGTTATTGCAATTACTTTCTGTTTACATTCGTATTTGCTTCAATTAGATCTTTTCAACTTCCTACTGTCAGGTATTCCACTTCCGACTGGTGTTATGTACTACTTATGTTGACAGATATAAGTAGCATACACTACAATATTACTGGTGGTCTATCATAAAATAATAATTAACATCTATTTCTTCAACATTGACCAAATGTTTACAGTTTCAAACTATTGAAATAAAAACTACTTAAGCGTGACAAAAATGGTGGGATGTATGTATTTAGTTAATTGATATAAGAAGGTTAGAAAAAACCCGACATGAATAAGTTAAAAAATAAACATGGATCAAAGGTTTTAAAGCAAAAAAAACTTTACAGGTTTTTGAAGATTTTTTTTTGTTTAGATGAAGTTTAAATTACCTTTCCTAGTTAAGATCTGATTCAGTGATGTGTTAAGGATAAACTATGTCATTCTGATACCCCCCCCCTTCATTTTTAGTTATCAGTTCACTTGATTTCGTGGAATAGGTTATTGCAAGGGGGAAATAATGTACTATTATCAAATGCATCACTTTGTCTGGCTAATAGAAAAAGAGTATAAGTAAATTATTAGGTTGTACCTTGAACACTTTATTAACTCTGGTTACATAGTCTCATTTGAACCGTCCTCCAGCGTTATCTAAAATGTTACACAAATCGACAAAAAGTGTTTAAGAGTCGAAAATTTGTGCATGAAAAAGGCAATAACAACCTATCAATTCAAGTTTTGATTCTATTCAAAAACGATCGTATTGAATCTTTCGTACTATCATTTTTGTTATTCCTAATTCTTCACACTTCATAAGGTTCATTCTGGTAATCACCCAATATTATAGATCATGTTGTTTATGTTCAGTAAATATAAGTACTGTCAAATGTTGTTTCATCAGTTACAGAAGTCACCTTTCAACTATCAAGCCAGTGGTTCAAATCTCATCCCATCTACAGTCTAGTTAACTGATTAATATTGCTTAACCAAAACACAATCCATAGGACTTAAGGTTGAGTATAAAATTCTTTTATTTGCTTGGTAAATAAGCTATTTCATCTACACCTTCTCTATGTAACATTATCGAAAGTATGTTCTTGATAGTTCACATCACGAATTTATCTTAGACAAGCACTGGAAACCACGAAGCACTAGAATTTTTTTAAATCCTGGTAAGAGAATCAATAAAAAACTATGCAACATTCTGCAATCAGGATCAATTTATACTTACTGGTAAATAACTTTGAAAGGTAATTCCAGGGGTTCTAGTATAAAGACGCAACCAATGAAGTCCAACCATGTCAGTCATGAGATAAATATTATCAACAATAATGGTTGATGGTCACACAGTGATTGGAGTTAGCAATGTACACCATTGAATGACAGCTGAGGTCTAAATATTAAGCGTTCATCACAAGACTTAAAAATCCTGGTGTCGATCCCCATTCGGAATACATATAAGCATTGCTAAAGAGTTCTGCACTAGAATTAAACAGATGTTCAGTGCTTTCTGATTTTCATCGGTTGTTTAACTGAAGATCAATTCGTGATATAAACTGTGACATTCCAAAAATCTTTATAATATCATCTCATAGTAAGAACATGTTTTCTTTATTATTCTGAATTTATATAATTTTTCTGTTATTGTTATATCGATTGCGTACTTTCTTGCCCAGTTTATATATATGAATATGCTGATTCCCGCCTATCAGAGAGGAATGAATTATCGATCAGAGCAATGATACACGAAAAACCGTATGAACAGTCTTGAATACTTATCAGTTCTGCTTTCTGCCTAATCCAGCCAGTTAAGTCCAGAACACCAATAACAGCTTCTGCAATATGAATCATTATTCACAAACATACTGAGTTTATATACCAAACAAACTGACCACATCGTACCAGCCAAATATGACTGTGAATAGAGGGGAACAGTAATTAATGAACCTAGGGATAATTCAAGAATGGTACATCATATAATAATAGTCTATGGGTCAGAATAAAGCTTATAATAAAAGGAACATGAATATGAATAGTTAAGTTACGTAGATATTATACAATAGGAAATGTACATATCACATTGGTCCATAAACAATCCTCAAAAGTTACCATTTCTAAATCTTCACGGAATATAACAGTTATTCATTATTTATTCATTGAAGTTTATCTGTTTTCTCTAATTTTCTCATTTTTGTTTTACTTTTTAGATTGAATATTCTACTAATCCAATTGTATCCAAATCTTTAAAAAATACTAATCCATCTATTGAAATAATGAATAAATTTTCATATCCATCCAATTTATCTAAATCATCCATTGATCATCTATTGGAACATTCATCTAAACCTAATTCATTATATATTATTCGACCAACACAACATGCAATTGATATGTGATTTAGTTGTGGTGGAAACATGAAACAAAAAAAAAACAACCAATTATTCTATCATTATGATTCAATTTTGAGTGTATAATAGGTGTGTGTGTGTGTGTTCATCTTGTTGTGTTAACGAGGTATGGTAACTTGGACCGATGCATATATGTGCCTGGTCCTACGTTGTAGCTGTCTGACTGACTGTGTGTATGTGTACACGCTAATTTTCTTCTTTTTTTCAATGATGATTATCCTTTTCATTTGAAGAGTTCGAAACAAACAAACAGACAAAGAAAAAAAGAAAAAGAAAACTGTCTATAGTACTGATTACTTTATTATTTAAATAATCATATCATTCTTCGTATATAATGAATGGTGATATTAAATAATCTTCCGTTTTGTTTGCTGTACTGTGATTACTACTAATATTACCACTACTAGTACTAGTACTACTACTTATATTACAGTATTATTTACACTGTCCTTAATGATTATATGACATTTTGTTCAACTTTCTTGTTTCTATCTTCATATTGATTTCTTTCTTTTGTGTATTTAATGTTCATGTTTTACTACTTACTCTGTGCTAATCATCATCATCGTCATCATTATCACCATCGTTGCTGTATTGTGTATATATATATGGGTGTATGTGTGTGTTTATGTGTGGCTAGCACATTGTATACAATGTACAATCTTTTCCCATTTACAATAGCTTACTGTTTTCTATCATTGTTTATATTCTTTTTTTTCCTAGGTAAATAAAATTACTCTTATATACCTTTTCTTGTTTGTTTGTTTGTTTCTTTCTTTCTGAAGAAACATATATTCTCTATACAATTTAGGCTGTGCACTACTTACTATAAATGTACATCAAAACACAAAACAAACAAACAAACAAAAACCCACAAATGTTTACATACTTATATATATATATATATATATACTACTTATTTAGCCTTCTATTGCTCAGTATACTACTTAAATCACTTTTTATTTGATTTAAAATTCCTGACCATTTATATCATATTTAAGGAGAAGAAAACGACGACGAAGAAGAAGAAGAAGTCAGTAAGTAACTTTAAATGAATGTCATTTATTTTTTGTTGTTACCATGTGCATATCATCATATTATGTCGTATCATTTCTCTTTTTTTCTTTCTTTCTTTTTTTTCTTTTTCTTTTGTATTTTTTTTTAAATATTTTATTTCATTAAAAATGTAACCCTAATTATCATGTAACACTAAGTGAATAAAACCATTTTTTATTATTGTTGTCAATATGAATAATATTACTTATTTATAAGATGTGTATATTTGTGCAATGCACTCTATACTGAATACGTATATATATATATAAGTAGTATATAACTGTATATATTTACATATGTGTGTGTGTATGTGTATTTGTTTATGAAAGGTATTCTACCTCTTGTGATATGTTGCTATGATGAGAATATACAGTAAATATACAGTTGTATGGTTAATAATACTCATTGATATATACATATTAAATGTTGCTTTAAATTATCTTTCTTCTAGAGCAATTTGCATAAAATGTGTATTTTATTATTGCACCAATTTTTTTTCTTTTTTTCATTTCTCAATATCATCTTTTATTAATAGGTAATGTTTTATTGATTTAAAGTTCCTTGAAAACTATCACCCCCTTTTCATCATTTTGATTGTTATCTTTTTATTATATTTCTAAGTTGTTTGTTTTTTCTTTTTCTTTACGAAAGAAATGAATTTGTTCTCTTGGTATCCTTATTTCCTCTTTCCACTACATTGATGTTTATTTTCTTTTTTTTTATTTATTCCATCAACCATCGTTCCCCTTTCATCCTTTTTTAATTATATTTCACGGTTGTCTTTTTACTTCTTCTTCTTCTTCTTCTTCACGGAAGAAATGAATTTGTTCTCTTGGTATACTTACTTCTTTTATTCTTGTTGTATACAAAAGTGTAAATCAATGGACCAATGTCTTTCATTAGATAAAAAGCTACTTCTTCATTTTTTTTGTTGTTTTGTTCTTTTTATCCTCATTACTGATGTGATAAAGATCACTTATATTCTCTCTTTGTTTAGAACTGATTCATTCATGAATATCTTGTTTTTCTACCGATATTAACACTATTTATTCATGATATTGCATATGTGCAAAATGAATTTGATTTTACTTCGTTTTGAACCATGGTTTCAATATTACAAACCGATAACAACATAAAAGGTGGATATATTGTTTATGTGTATCTACGTGTATCTGCTTGTATTGTTTTTTTTTCGTTGTGTAATAGTGTAATTACACCTGACATTCCAGCATTTAGTCATTTTATTTACAACTTCTCCCTTTTTTTTTCTTCTTTTTTTTGATTCGTAAGATAATGATTTGCACAGGTAACTCAGTTCTTCATGGTTATTTACTTTCCATGTTTGTCTGTTTGTTTTTGTTTATCTTTCCTTGTTGAAACGATTTGATTTTTCCAATTGTAAACTGCATTTTCTTCTTTTTTTGTTTATGTTGATTCTACTGTTGTTGTTGTTGTTGGCGTTACTTTCTCTCCTTGTCATGTCTCTATGATGATCGTTGTTTTCTTATTTCATCTTTCTGTCCAATTTATTCAGTGTAATATCTTCTCAGGTGTAAAATAAAGATAAAATAATTTGTCAATATTTTATGTGATACTGTGTTATTTATGACCCGGTAGTGAATCATTTTTTGTTTCATATGGCTATGACTTATATATATATTTCTATGCATACTATTATGTAAGTTATTTCCATTGGCTTTGATAATTTCAACAGAGGTGCTTTCTTTTGTGATCTTGCATAACATTCCAACATGCCCTAAAGGAACATAGTTAATACATCTGACTACACAAACAAATGTATATTTTAATTTATAACACTGATATATTATTGTTATGCTCTATATGAATGGATATATATATATTTATAGATACATATATATGCTGACTTCTGCTTCTGTGTACATGTAAGTCTTGAGTGCTGTTAGAGGTATGAGGGCAGTTATCACTTCCCGGTTGCCCACACCGTCGAAGGGTTCTTCTAGAGGTACCTGAAAAAGAAATTGGGCTAGATGTGGTCTTAATGACCTGAGAGCGTGACCGCCGGACACGGATATCCGTGAGATAAGGCGAAGTGTGTATTTTTAGGTCCGACCTTTTCTAACCCCACCCCTCCTTGTGGGAAGGCAGCATCGCTGTTATGCTGGTTGTCTGAAGGAAACACCTTACTGCTTTCACACCTCTGTACAGTCAGCAGTACGACTTCGCCTTCAAACCTTGGGTTTGCTGCTTTTAGTCATACCGCTCTTCAACCGACCTGCTTGACATGGTAGGACCTTGAGGAACGATTGTTCCAACCAGTATAGCTCGATTGGTTCATCACGATAGGCAAGTCCGACCACCACGCCAAGGTAGCAGCAACGGTCGGGGTACATGTAAAGTAACTGTGAAAAGTTGCTGGGTAAGAATATTCCGATACATATTGAAAGTCCACCTTAATATATTTTGATTTAAGCAACTAGTTAGTAATATTTTAAGGCTAACAGACGAAGTGATGTTATGATTCAGATTTTCTATCCCTAGCTTTCTTCCAACCTACTCCTACACCATGAAACACGTCGGGGCAGTCGGTGGTCGGGCATACGTAACACTTGTCCCAGCCATCTCAACTGATGAAGTTTCACTACTTCATCAATCGATTTGCCATCCCTACCTAGTACTCGTTTCCTAACAACTGCATTACTTACCCGGTGGTCCCAGGATATATGAGCAATGCTTCGAAGACAACTATGATCGAAAACTAGTAGCCTACGAATATCCTCTACTCTTACCAACCATGTTTCACTGCCATAAAGTAGGACGGAGCGAACTGCTGCACAGTAAACCCGTCCTTTGGTTGCTAGACAGATATCTCGTCTACGCCATAAATGACGCGAGTTGGCGAAAGCTAGACGAGCCTTCTGTATCCGTGCTGAGATTTCGTCAAAAACCAGACCACAAGGGCTGATGAGACTCCCAAGATAAGTGAAGTGGTCAACACGCTCAACTACTTCACTCCCTATCATTAGTTCAGGTGTCGCTGCAACCCAATCCTGAAATAACATTTTGCACTTCGAGGGAGAGAATCGCATTCCGAACATGCCTGCATTGTTGCTTATAGTGGTCAGAGGACTCTGCATTTTGTCAGCGTCCTCACCGAGTAAAACTATGTCGTCGGCGTATTCTAAGTCAACAAGTGAGCCTCCCGGTAAAAGTTCAACTCCTGGAGGTTTAGCTGATGAAAGTGCTATCTCTAAAAGTATGTCAATGACAAAGTTAAACAAGAATGGGAGAGTGGACAGCCCTGACGAACGCCACTTGTGGTAATCAGTTCTGATGACAGTTCGTCATATGCTCTAACTCGACCAGTTGTGTTCGAGTAGAGAGCCTTTATGAGGTTAATGTACTTCTTTGGTACTCCTTTCAGTGACAAACATTGCCATAGAACCTCACGATCAACGGAGTCAAATGCCGCCTTGAGGTCAAGAAATACTACTATTGTGGGACGTCTGAATTTGTGTCTATGTTCTAGAACCTGACGTAGGGTGAATATCTGGTCTATGCAACCACGTCCAGGTCGAAAACCAGCTTGGTTTTCCCTAGTCTGCTCTTCACGAGCTTTGGTCAGGCGACCTAATATTATTGAAGCTAATATTTTAGACACTATGTTAGTCAAGCTGATCCCTCTGTGATTGTCACAAGAGGACTTTTGTCCTTTCTTATAGACTGGCACAATCAGTGATTGGGACCAGTCAGATGGAATTACGTCCAGTTCCCAGATTCTACCTAAGACCTCAGTCAATCTCACTGCTAGTACTGGACCACCATCCTTAACAAGAACATGAGTACATTAAGAAAGTGTCATAGTTACAACAACATTATGCTAATTTTAGAGTAACAGATATGGCATTACAGGATGCAGATGTTATGAATCAGTATTTCTTTTTTAGTAGCAT